GACGCCTAACTACCTCCTATAAGATAACATGATACACTTAGAGCCCTTTCACTACTATCCCTTATGCCTAGCTACCAAGGTGCGTCCCTATTGCAAACTATTTCGTCAAAATGGAGTTATACTGACCTCAGATGGTTGAAACAAGGGTGGGAATGGCTCCAGAAGGGTCGAAAACCTAAGAATCAGTATCCTATTCGGACGTCAAGCCGCTAAGCCGTACTGCCAAGCCGAGCCGGGAGTGCGCGGAGCCGCCGATGGAGCTGAAGCCGACGGCTGCGAAGAACACTGCCGGCGCAGGGTTTCTGGGCGTGCCTCCAGTTTGGGCCGAAAGGGAACGAGGCCCAGAGGTGGTGTCCGAGTGCGGCCTGCGAGGTGCGGGCTGCACGCTAGCTGAGATGACTTGCGGAATGCCGAGGGTCGACCCACAGCTGCCGCTTCATCTTCCTCGTCTGAAAACTCTAATCGCGGAGCTTGGCTACCGTCGCCGGTGGAAGCGTCGTCGTTTGTCAGTCTCCAGTGGCGCGTCTGCCTCTCCTTGTTCCGAAGTCCCTTGGTGTCCGCTCCTACCTAAAGGAGGCGGCCGCTCCTAGGGTTTAAGAGGGCCTGCATGGGTTCCGCCGAAAATCGTGATATTTTCGGCGTTTTTTTTTTTTTTGGAAAGGTGTATCATTACATCATGTGTCAACTCACCGCATCGTAGACTCCACAACAAAATAGTGTGGTCGAGCAAATAAACCACGCCATAATGAACACTACAAGAAGCTTACTCAAGAGCATGAAGTCCCAGTGATCTTCTAGAGCAAGGCAATATGACATGTGGTTTATCTTCTAAATTTTTTATCAATAAAGTCATTAGACACACACCCCCTACGAAGCATGGTTCAGTAAGACACCTCATTTCTAGCATCTAGGAGTCTTCGGTCGTACAACACATGTTAAGGCTGCAAAGCCATATATAAAAAAAAAAACTTGATGGCATACGCAAAAGATGGTGTACTTTGGCATAGAAGATAGGACTACGACACATAAGTTATGGCTGCAACATGAGAAAAATTATGTAAGTAGAGATGTATTCGAAGAAGAGAAAAGTGGGATAGTCAGTGTCGGTGATAACAAACAGACTGTTGCAGAGTTCACTACTCTAAAAGAAGAGGGAGATGCGACAGACCTAGAAAGTGCACCAACGTCGACACCAGTAAATCCACACGTCATCATTGGTAACACCGAAAAGAACAAGAGAGCTCAATCAAGAGCACAGGAAGATCCACAACAGATGGTGGACCAAAGAAGTTTTGTTCTCTCTCTAAAATTTATGTAAATACATTTAAAGAAGAAATAGATCCCGACGAGCTAGTGTCTCTCATCGCCGAGAAGACAACAACTTATCATGAGGCAACAATTGAGATGTCGTGGCTGGAGGTTATGCAAAAAGAGCTTGAAGCAATTTAGAAAAATAAGACGTGGGCACTCATTAACTTACTGCTCGGTCACAAGCCCATCAATTTGAATTAGGTATTTAAGCTGAAAAAGAATGGTGAAGAGAATGCCATCAAACATAATGCAAGAATCGTGGCAAAGGGACACGTGAGGCGAAAAGGAGTTGATTTTGAGAAGGTCTTCTTGTCGGTAGCTAGACTAGATATTTTAAGGTTGAGTTTTGCCCTTGCAGACTCAATAAGGTAGGAGGCTCATCACATGGATGTCAAACTAGCGCTCCTAAATGATGATCTTCAAGAAGTATACTTATCCAACCTGAATACTTCGTCATGAAAATTGAAGAGCAGAAAATGTACAAAAGGTCGAAGGCCCTTTACTATTTACGATAAGCACCAAGCGCATGGAACATACACCTGGACAAGAGCTTGAAGAGTCTAAAGTTCATCAATTACTCGCAAGAACAAGCAATGTATACAAGAAACAATGGAGTTGAAATACTCATAGTTGACGTGTATGTTGATGACTTTGATCGTCACTGGTACAAGTCTAGAAGGCCTTAAAGAGTTCAAACAATAGATAATGAAAGAATTTGAGATAATTGGCCTCGGATTACTTGTGTACTACCTAGGAATTGAGGTGGAGCAAAAGAAAGACTACATCATGCTAAAAAAGTAGCCAACCTATGCTAAAAAGGTGCTGCAACAATTTAAGATGACAAGTGCAACTCGACCAAGTACCCCATGGAAGCAAAGTTTCAGCTCAAGAAAGACGTTAAAGGAAGCTTGGTGAATCCCACCAAATATAGACACGTTATTGGATGTCTAAGGTACTTAACTCACACTTGTCCATATCTTTCATATGTTGTTAGAATGGTGAGTAGGTACATGAAGAAGCTTACAATGATACATCATCAAACGCTTAAAGCACATTCTCCACTTTGTGAAGGGAACCACAAGCTATAGACAAGTATAAAAAATGTCAAGGACCTAATAAACTTGTCATTTTACTAATAGTGATCTAGCCAGAGACATCAATGATAGAAAAAGCACTACAGGAATGCATTCTATCTCAACGGAAATCTGATCTCTTGGTAATCTCAGAAGAAGTAAACTGTATTGATGTCTTTCAACTGAGTAAATCTTCATGAGAGGAAATCGTTTGACAGAGGAGAAGTAGCCGAAGAAAATTTGTTGAAAGAAAAAAAAACAGAAAGCGCAAGAAAATAACAGAGAGAACGAAAGCTTGAGACTTGACTTTGTTGAAAAAACACGTCATATGTTTCTCATTTAATTTTACTATTTAAAACAAATTACATTCTTTGGCTGAAGTGGCCAACAAATCTTGGGCATAAAGATGGCCCAAACGAACAGTTAAAAATATGTTCTCTCATTCTAAGTGCGTTCATTTAGATAGCCTAAAAACAAATTTCAACTATTTAAGTTTAAGGAAATCGTGAATAACCTAAATAAAGTAAAACCACACCCTTTTATCTAACAATCTACTCCAATATATCTACCTTATTATTTGAACTCCGATCTTTGAGCGAAGTTCCTCAAATTTTACCTGCGTCAGAGGTTTGGTGAAAATGTCTCCAAGCTGTTCCTCTTCGGATGAAGTCAATCTTGATAAACCCTTAATCTGCACACTCCCAGATGTAATGGAACCTGATCTCTATGTGCTTGCTCCGGTCGTGCAAAACTGAATTTTTGATTAGGGAGATCATAGCTTTGTTGTCCACGTAAAGCATTGGTGGATCGCCTTCTCTTTCGATGAGTTCTTCCATCAGTCGTGCAAGCTAGACCCCCTGTGTGGCTACCGTCGAAGCGGCTATGTACTCTGCTTCGCAAGAAAACAAAATCATCCCGCTGGTGCTCTTACGATCATCAACGTCACTGGTCATGTCACTATCATGTAGCCAACCAGCTCAAGCTTCTCCTTTCCTCTCCCTGCACAGTATCTCACACCCCAGCCTCTGGTTCCAGCCACATAGCGTAGGATGCACTTGACAGTCACAAGATGCTCCTCCCTAGATGCTTCCATAAACCTACTCACGTATCCAACGGAATAAGCGAGGTCAGGGCGTGTATTTATCAAATAGCGCAGGCTCCTCACAATGCTGCGGTAATTGGTGACATCGACTGCCGTCGTAGTGCCGACCTTCCTTAGCTAGAGCCATGCCTCCATTGGCGTCTTTGTAGGATTACTGTCCGCTAGTCCAGCTGTGTCCAGCAACTTCTTTGTGTACGCACCTTGACAAATGGTGATGCCGACAGTACTCTGTTGCACTTCGATGTCGAGGTAGTAGCTGAGCACGTCGGGATCGCTCATCTTGAAGTTTTTTGACATCTCCTTCTTGAATCTTCCAAGAACTTCCATGTCGCCTCCAGTGATTATGAGGTCGTTGACGTACACTCCCACGATCAGCCGCTGCTCGCCGTGGCCATGCATGTACATGCCATGCTTAGAGGCACATTGCTTGAACTTCAGCGATAGCAGGGTACTGTCGAGCTTTGCATTCCAGGCTCGTGGTGCTTGCCGAAGCCCGGAGAGTGCCTTTTGCAGGCGCAGTACCTTGCTAGAGTAGTCGTTGTCCAGGAAGCCAGGTGGTTGTCAGACGTAGACGGTCTCCTTCACCTCTCCATTGAGGAAAGCAGACTTCACGTCCATGTAGTCGACCTCCCAAGAGCAATGTGCTGTAATTGCCAGCAACAGGCGGACGGATTCCAACCTTGCCACCAGCGTGAATACTTCTTCGAAGTCCACTCCTTGCTTCTCGACGTAGCCCTTCGCCACAAGACGAGCCTTGTGCTTCACAACTTCTCCCTCTTCGTTACGCTTTAGTTTGAATCCCTATAGCTCGGTGTCCTGATGGCATGTCCTCCAGACTCCACGTCTTGTTTTCAGTGATGGACGACATCTCTTCCTGCATTGCCTTCAGCCAGCACGGATTTCTTTCTGCTTCGGTAAATGAGTTTGGTTCATCCGCGCTGATGGCATGCAATTCAGCCACCTCTACTTCAGAGAACGAAAGTTTGAGATTTGACTTTGCTGAAAAACACGGTGCTTATGTTTCTCATTTAATTTAACTATATAAAACAAATTACATTCTAAAATTGTCCAAAGTGGCCAACAAATCTTGTGCATGGCTCAAATGGCTAGCTAAAAATACATTCTTCCATTCTACGTGTAGCGTTAATTCAAAACGTGAATAACCTAAATAAAGTAAAACCACAATCTTTTATCTAACATGTATCACTATCTTCCTATGAGACCGAGTTCATTGTAGCTAAGAAAAGAGAGAGAGGGGGAGAATCCAACTATTGTTTTCATCTTGTTTCTCCTCCATCCTTATTGGAACTTAAAAGATTGTATCTCTTCCCTATTCTTTTAGATTATTTCTTTGTTTACACTTAACCTTCTTAATCTCTCTATCTCTACTTCAATCCCCTTTGTTTTATCTTGTCTACATTCTATTAAACTTGTTTAGATTGACTAAGCAAACAACTTTAACCCTTCTAAGTGGAGTAGATCTTCAACCCTTTGTGTTTATGCTTCATAAAAAATACCCAAATTTAAACACTTTATTCTTCCCAATACCATATCATCAATGGTTGAGAGTATGATGAACTAATATACACAAATTATCTTACATTCAACTAATACACAAATTATCTTACATTTCAACTAAAACACAAACAAGCATTTAGCCTATACAAAGTGATCATATCTTCAAATTTTTACAAATACACACAAGTTTGTACACCCACTTCTTCAATTTACATGTCACCATTCTCTTTTCCATCTTCAGCTACAACTCCATTGCTCTTAATTCCATTGTTTTTCATGTCATTTTCACATGATTCTTGTTTCTTCTTCTCAAGAACATCAATCAATCTCTTGAAACAATCATTTACTTCTTCACCTTCAAACTTAGGCGTCAAATTCTCCGCCACATCCGCCGGCGTCACCTCAATCTCCTCCAACAATTGCTCAATTTTCTCATAACAATCATGCCATTCAACGTCCAAATAATTCATAGCAAGAACTTTGAATCCTTCAAATCCACAATATGACATCTCAATATGTTTATCCATTCTTCCTCTCCTAATCAAAGCTTCATCAAGCTTTTCCTTATGATTTGTGGTGAAGATAATCAACCTCTCTCCTCCACAAGATGACCAAATCCCATCAATGAAATTCAACAACCCTGAAAGTGTCACCTTACTCCCTTTCTTCTCTTCTTCATCACCCTTCTTACTTGCCTCTTTTTCCTTCTTCTCCTCCTTTTCCCTTTGCCTCGTAAGATCAAGAGAGCAATCAATATCTTCAATCACTATAATTGACTTGCTTGAGATATCAATCAACAACTTTTTCAGCTCGGAATTGTCCTTAACACATGTCAATTCAAGATCATAGACATCATATTCCATGAAGTTCGCCATGGCAGCGATCATCGAGGACTTACCGGTTCCGGGAGGACCATAGAGAAGAAACCCACGTTTCCAAGCCTTCCCCACCTTCTCATAATACTCTTTACCATTCTTGAACTTGATTAATTCATTAACAATCTCTTGCTTCATCTTGGGATCCATAGCCAAAGTTCTAAAACTTGAAGGGTGTTCCAATGGAACATGTCTCCAATTGCTTCTATGCCACCAATTCGTCTCGGAGTTATTCATGTAAAGCTTCCGTTGTCGGTTTTTAACCTCGACCGCCTTCCCTTCTTCCATGATATGGTTAATAAACGACTCGAGAATGATATCACGGTGTCGGCGATGGAATGTAAGCTTATAGAATCGTCGCTCATCGGAATTAGGGTAAATCGAAAATGATTGAGTTTTAGGGATGTTTTTAGTGGAAGTCCACCAAATTTTGACGCCTTTATATTCATCAAGAACCTCTTCGTTGTCATCCATTGTTAATACCAATGATTTGCTATCTTTGACTACTTCGGCCTTTAGGCGCTTGGCGTGAATTGAGGTCTTGGATTGGAGGTAGTTTTGAATGGCGGTGAAAGCTTCACTACGGCGGAGATGCTCGCCGGTGAACTCAGGGAAAGTGATTGTTATGTAAGGGTAAAGAAAAGCGATGAGTTTGTGGAGATATCTTTTGATATGGGATTGAAATTGGTGGGGGAAATATCGATTAACAATTGCCCAAATGAACATGGTGGTCGCCATTAGAGACCCAACTTGAGTCCATAGCTCGCCCATGCCCATCGGAGTCATGTTTTGGTAGCAAAGTTTGGACGGAGAGTGGTGGGTTTTTAAAGAAGTGGCGGCGGTGGTCAAGTTGGAGAGAATTCAAGTCTTTCTTTAAGAATAGGAGTATGAGGACATAAATGGTGTAAGCTTGGCCCACCATGTAAAACAAGGGAGTGGAAAATCGGACAAAAGAACATGTTTTTGAATATTTTAAGGAAAGGACCAACCAATGTTGTTTTTGCTTTCTGAATTTTAAATTTTGTATTTAATAGATTTATTGTTGTCAAAACGTTGACGAAGTAATGTATTTAACAATTCACATGATAATAATCGGTAAAATTTGTTGAGTGGAAAAAACACGGTTTATAAAACAAGATAAATCTACAAAATGAAGAACTTGCGTTCTTGTTCTTGACAATGGTATTTATACGATAATTTTAGGGTTTTGTTTGCATGTTTTTCGAATTAGGTTAAAAAAGTTTGGATTGAGCTGCTTTAGAATCGTGAACTAGTGGGCACACTAGGTGTGTTCTCCTTAAGAGGCCGATTGTAGGGTTGTCGAGGTCGACTAGATGAGTTTGGGCTTATCCTAAACCCGCTTCTTTTCTTTTTCTTGGTGGTCTGAATTTTTTGTATGTTGGTTTGTCTTCTCTCGTATTTGGCCCTCTTGCTTTATTTGATCCCCAATATTCTTTGTGATTTGGGTTTGTTCTTATGATTTGTATATTCATTTTTCTTTTTTAAGTATAACAACTATGGGGGGATATTGATCATTGTCTCAAGCTAGGCTATAGATGCCTTTGTGTGGCGTCATGATTTTGACACGCTCGTGACAAGTCTTAAAAGAAATCCAACATATGCATAGTCCAAATTTGTTTGACCACACACGATGCTCGTGCGTGCATGTTCAATCATCTACGACTAATCGACTCTCGCCTCTACATTAGGCAAAGTCATTTGTCTCGATCTTGCCTCTACTCGAGTCAAGGTCTCTTAATGCAATATTGCATCTCAACTCGTCATCTTAGTTTCATTTTGAGGCTTTATGAAGTCATGTATGTTATCTTTGTAAAGGAGAATTAGAAAATGTATCAAAAGGAGCATTTGACGGTTTGTTTGTAAAGTGATTTGAATCTCAAATAAGCAAATGATAAGGAATCATCATCCTAAGGGAATGTTAGATTCAGATTATGATCGAATATATCAAAACAAGATCACTTTTTTTATATTCAAATCACTCCAAGTAAATAAAGGCCAGAGATTCAAATCACCATCAATCTAGTTTTCAATTATTCGTCATAAACTTTAACCATATCAGAATAAATGAAGTCTCAATTAAAGTATTTTGAAACATTTATTCATAAATGAAACTTGATTCTTCTGAATGAGGCATTAATAATGTATGATCGAGATGTTTTAATTCACATCACATAGGTTCGTTATGTTATTAATGAATGGAGGCTTGACTTGCATCGTTTATTCCGTGAGTTAAGCTATGGAGACATTTTTGTGTTCGGTAGCCTGAGAGAATGCTAACCTAATGAGTAAGAGTACGTATACGAGTCTGCATGATGGGTCTATGTGTGCGTGGACCATGTGTTGCCTGTACTAGAAATTAGAGCCCAAGGCTATGCATGATGTTTTTAAAAGGATAGGTTCTATCATATCTCATGTGATTGCATTTTTCGACTCCAACAATAAAATTACGTGCATACTTTATTATATTTTATTCGTATACATGTGAAAAAATAGTTATCATATCTAATTATTTTTCGCTAAAATGGCCTTTTGTAAATGTATTAGCCAGCTGCCATCAATTATAATCTCCCATTTATCAACGAAATTGGAAGCCAGCTCTCAAAGACGTCATGTCGCATGCTTGTTTTCTATCCGCACCGTGGAATTAAAACAAACTTGGTCGACAAGTCGTTTACCAACTTATTATTTATTATTTATTATTTAATTATACTTTAAAAAATGTACCCACCATTTTACACTAGTAAATATCAACTTTTAAATATATAAAATAAATATCGAATAAACTTTCCCAGGTTCTTTCAACATACGATCGAAATGTGCACCTTGTTTAAAATAATAATTTTTAATTCTTTTAAATCTTTTTTAGTCATCATATTTTCGGGTATCACAAAAAAATTATTTATTTTAGAATTATTTAAGAATTGAAATTTTAAGAATTTACGAGATAATTATAAATAAATAATGTTTTAGAAGAAAAAATTTAAAAATAATTTGTTAGGTATAAAATTCCTTTTCTCTTCTTTTTAAATTAAAAAAAAATCAATAAAAGTTAGTTTAGCCACGTAGCTTTTTGTCTTTAATTTATATGATTTTGACTATAAAAGCAAAAAAAAAGTTAAATTATATTTAATTTAGAAGGAAAAAGAAAAGAAAATATAAAAAAAGGGGTGAATTTGCAGCGTGCAAAATCTATTACAGTCAAACAAGATCTCCTAGGTTCATGCTTTCGATTTCTTTAATGTAGTGGAGGTTAGCCGCCATGAAAATTAAAATAAATAAATAAATTTAAAATAGATATTTTTTTAATAGATTTGAATTGCACTTCAATTTTGAAAAAGAACAAACAAAAACAAAGCAAATGACTAAGCCAAAATCTTATTTTTATCGGGCATTAATTTGGAACTACGGGCACCTAAAACACCTTTTACTAAGATTAATGTAGTTGTAGGTAAACCTAAAGCAGTAGTACGATGAACTAAGAAGTTTTTGGGTCCTATTGTTAAGAATAATGAGTCGATAAAGGTTTGAAAGCTGAGCACCATTACTGAGTTGACAAAAAGAAGGGTCCGAGCATGATGGTTTTTCTTAGTCAAGCATGATGGTTTAACCGGTTGGAAATTGAAATTTTCAACTATTTTTTTCCCACAAGGGAATTCAAAATTAAGGTAAGGTTAGGTTATATATTCTAAGTCTTGTTATTTATCTCTCTCTCTCATATTTATTTTCCAAACATCTCTCTCTCTCGAAGATTCTCGACTCGAAAATCTCTCTCTCTCGAAGATTCTCGACTCGAAAATCTCTCTCTCTCAAAGATTCTCGACTCGAAAATCTCTCTCTCTCAAAGATTCTCGACTCGAAAATCTCTCTCTCTCAAAGATTCTCGACTCGAAAATCTCTCTCTCTCAAAGATTCTCGACTCGAAAATCTCTCTCTCTCAAAGATTCTCGACTCGAAAATCTCTCTCTCTCAAAGATTCTCGACTCGAAAATCTCTCTCTCTCAAAGATTCTCGACTCGAAAATCTCTCTCTCTCAAAGATTCTCGACTCGAAAATCTCTCTCTCTCAAAGATTCTCGACTCGAAAATCTCTCTCTCTCAAAGATTCTCGACTCGAAAATCTCTCTCTCTCAAAGATTCTCGACTCGAAAATCTCTCTCTCTCAAAGATTCTCGAAAATCTCTCTCTCTCAAAGATTCTCGAAAATCTCTCTCTCTCAAAGATTCTCGACTCGAAAATCTCTCTCTCTCAAAGATTCTCGAAAATCTCTCTCTCTCAAAGATTCTCGAAAATCTCTCTCTCTCAAAGATTCTCGAAAATCTCTCTCTCTCAAAGATTCTCGAAAATCTTCTCTTAAAATCGAGGCCAGAGGCTCAAGCATACGTCACTTGGCCGTAGGCAACGCAAGAACCAATTGTCTCTCTCGAAAATCTCTCTCTACCCTAATTTTCTAGAACCTTCTCTTAAAACCGAGGCCAGAGGCTCGCAAAAACGAATTGGCTTAGCTCACTTGTCGTCTTAGCTCACTTGTCATTGGAAAGTAAGTGCCGCACAATCGCAAGTCGAATTGGCTTAGCTCACTTGTCGTTAGAAAGTAAGTGCCGCACAATCGCAAGTCGAATTGGCTTAGCTCACTTGTCGTTGGAAAATAAGTGCCGCACAATCGCAAGTCAAATTGGCTTAGCTCACTTGTCGTTGGAAAATAAGTGCCGCACAATCGCAAGTCCGCTGCCATTAAAAAGTGCAATTGTGACAAGTGGAGTATGAAAATAAAGACGTCCATTCATAAAATTGCAAGAACTAGGAACGTCCAAATGTAAAGAGCCAAATCCATATAACTGCTTACCACCTACAGAACCCTAAACCCTAGATAGAATATGTTACCATCTACACATAAACCCACTTGAACCCTAAATAGAATATGTTACCACCTACACATAAACCCACTTGAACCCTAAATAGAATATGTTAGAAGATCTCTAACCTGTTCCAACTTTGAGAAGAACTCACAAAACTAATTTACATCTGGAGGATTCTCCTGCAAAAGGTGAAGGTCCCGTGAACAACATGCATAGCAGAACAAATTGGCATTCCAATCTTTATGGAAGCACCGAGTGAAGTGCTACAAACCCATTATTTTTTAGAACATTTTCACATTTGAGTTTTGTTGCACTTGATTACCAATGTAAACTTGCACTAAATCAAAAAGCTTTTTCATTTAAATGTTTTCTACTTAAGAATAGACATTGGAACTAAGGAGTAATTAGTGTTGTAGGGAATATTAAAAAGTCTTTAAACAAACGATTGTAAATTTAATTCTGTTCTTGCTGTCATATTTTGCACACGTGACAATGAACATAACACAACATAACCAGTTTGAAAAACAGCTAATTCAAGCAAGTCTAGACTATTGTGAATATTTAGCTATTTAGATAGATGTGCAGTTTGAAAATCAGCTAATTCAAGCAAATCTTGACTAAGCCCTTCGAGCTGGTATATACTCAAGCGAAGCTTTATACATTTGATGAACCACCTCTTTCGAAATTTTACAATATTAACATTTGAATCTTGAAAAAATCAATATGCACTTTAGTTATAATTTGTATATTCTCATACAAAATGCGCTGTATTAAATATTAGTTACGAGTTCATCACAGATTCGCATTGTTGGTCGTGCTGGTGTGAAAATGATGCAAGTTTGCAAGGCTCAACTACACAATTTCAGATCCATGGCTTATCAACCTTTTCCCTAAAAATTATTCAATCAGCACCTTTTAATATCCAATATGTTTTCAAAATCTTTGCATGCATATCCAATATGTTTTCGATACAAAACCTAAAACATTTTTTACAATGTCCTCCATTGCAAAAGGCTCATGAAATAATTAGCCATTCCAATGGGGAATTGAACTTAAGACAACGAAATTACAGAAAAACTACAACGATTAATCACTAGCTTATGCTCAGAATATGAATATACATTCTCATCGACTACCTTTCCAAGGAAAGAAAAATCTCTGAAGTCTGACATGTGAATTTTATTCATAATTCATCACCGCAGAGGAGGTGAAAAAATTACTAAATAGCTTTAGAAAAAAACATATAGAAGCAGAAGCTCTCATTTCCATTCAATAGATCTATCCACATTATTGAGTTTCAGAATAGCGTATATTGCCTGAGAAGGCATGTAATCACAGAGCAACCGCTACACAAAGACAAATATGAAGTCGAAAGCAAAACAGATCGAAAAATGAAGATCAGAGGCAAATAAGTATTTCAAAAACAGTCACAGGTAATTCAAAAACACAAACGAATACCAAACATTCATCAAATCTCCAGATTAAAATGAACAATCAAACAAAGAAAAGAAAGAACATCAGACGTAAATACCACGAATCATGAACATGGAATTGCTTCCATTCATATTGTTGCAGTTATTTTTCTCGTCACTTGATCCGGAATAACATATAAACAGAGAAAAACAATATAGAGCAAATGCTTAAAGAGATAGTAACAGGAAAGATTATGAAGGGATGAGAGCAAAGCCCTTTCGGCGCATATTTATAGGTCTAGTTTCGCCCATTGTATAAGAAACCCTAAACAGAATAGCGGAAATTTTGAGCTATTTAAAGGGTGGGCCGTCGGCCCAATAGTACATTGCCGAGCCCAACACGATTTTAAAAAAATAAAATAAAATAAAATTATTATTCATACGAACTTCCCAACATAGCTAAGCCAAACCAAGCCGATCCACCGTCATCACCGAACACACTACTCTTGTCTCGCCGCCGCATCGCCGCCGCCCCAACCCGCGGGGCAGAACGTGACAACAAATTCCTTAGCCGAGCAACTGGCCAACGGCGGTGGCGAATCAAAGGCAAAGCTGTAGTACGACGGGCAAGCCTCCTTAAACATCCTCGAATACAGACTCGGCTTACAAGTCTCCGGCGATCCGTACTCATTTCTGCAGCAAAACGGGTCTAATCCAAAGGCCAAACAAGCGCTTCTACAAGCCACGACTTGACGGTTCCCATTCAAAACCTTCAATTCATCGGGGCAAATTTCGTTAAGATTCTTCTCGCAGCTTCCAATGGCGCATTTGGGGGAAATGGGCTGTTTCGAATTGACTGAAATCGGGAGGTTAAATCCGTCAACAAGGCTTATGTCGTAGAAACTAGGCTTCGATTTGTCTTCTTGGAGGGCAACTTCGACGAGTGTCGCCGGTGGGGTTCCGATTAGCCCCTTGCAGGCGAGTTGGCCCCCACAGTCGCCGGTTTCGCAAGCGGGTTGTTGATTGTTTGACTTTGGGCCGAAATTGCAGCCGGTTCTTCCCCAGAACCGGCCGGTCCAGGACGCTGGCGCGACTACGCGCTGTGTTTGTCCGGAGAGGAGAGTGAACCCGCCGTCGGCGAGTATGGGCTGGCCGGCGTTTGGTGCCGTCGCTGGCCATATGGTGAATGGGCATTTGTTGCGAAAGTAAAACGCAACCGTGTGCGCACTGCCCTGCCCTGTAAATTTAAATTTTAAAAAATACATTTTAAATCCATGTTTAAACTATAATAATAATAATAATAATAAAATAAAATATTAATACATAAAAATCAATCATATTAATTTTAATATATATATTTCAAAAAATTACATTCTATGCCTGCATATAACAATTCATAAATACAACAAATATATTGAGAACTCGAGCCTAAGACCTCCTACGTCGATATACATGCATATAACAACGCAAATACAACAAATATACAAAGAACTCGAGTCCAAGACTTTTTACATCGATATGCATACATATAATGTAACAACTCAATCCCACTACTAGTAGATATTGTTTTTCTTTCTAACCGACGTAGGATCCAATCCACCCCTCGGGCCCACATCACCCCATGTATGGCTTTGATACCATTTGTAATAGCTCAAGCCCAAAATAATGTCCGCTATTGGATCCCACATCAGTTAGAAATGGAAACAAAGCATTTCTTATAAATGTGTGGAAACCTCTCCCTAACATACACTTTTTAAAACTGTGAGGCCGACAGCAATACATAACAGACTAAAGCAGACAATATCTGTTGAGTCGTTACCTATAACAACTCATAAATACAACAGATATATAAAGAGCTCGAATCTAAGACCTGTTACGTCGATATACGTACATAGAACAACTCATACATGCAACGAAAAAGGAAGAGAGGTGTTAACGCATTACCAAAGGAAAGGAAAATGGAAGAGAGGAAGAAGATGAAGAAAAGAGGTAAGCGATTTGGGAACTCCATTTGAAGAGATTGGGTGAAAGATAAGGGATTGAGTAATGAAAAGAGTTTATTTATAGGATGTGGGAGTGCATTGAAGGTGCTTGAATTCTACTTCAAGATTTGTGTTGGCCTAGCTTTAAGCAATGGAAATCGCCTTTATTAGGGACCGTTTAATTCTAATCTGAATGTTAGGAACCACACGATCTTCCATAATAATATAATATTGTTCATTTTGAGCATAAACTCTCGTGACGTTACTTCTGGTTTCTTTCAGAAAGCTTTGATGTATTCTTTAGTAATAAACTCATGATCATTTTCTTAATTAGTCTATGCGGGACTGTCTTCGAACATTCCTCAACCCTAAAAACACTTACAAAGTTGTTCTTTTTTAGTGATATTCTCTCCGGCTTCTTGCTTCTTACAAATAAGTATATTTTATTTGTAATTGACTTCAACATAGAACGAAGGTTTATGAGAATTGGTGATACCAGAGTAAAAGAGGGATAAATAAATAAAGTGAAACCATAGTTGAATCGGTGATACCCGAGTGAAAGTTATTATTTATATTACCAAGGTGCATTTTTCTTCTCGGTGGTTGTGCTTTGCTTGAAATAATTTTATGTCAGGTGACTTATTCGAAATTTTCATTCCCAATGATGAACGTTGTTATATATGATCATTCTGTTTAAATATTAATCCTCAATTAATAAATTTAGCGAGGGAATTGACTATAAATGTCACTTTCACCCGTGTAAAGCAAAGGACAAGCTTTCATAGGTGTGATTGAGTCATATGTGATCGTTATGTTAATATACGTTATAAACTAATTGCACATTTACAGTGATTAAGATTTATTTAGAAATTTAATAAAGGAACTTAACGACACACATACCATTAAAACTCATTAATCATGTTGGTTTTATCCTAATGCATAAGAACCGTTTAAATAGTTCATTTTTTTTCGGGATATTCATACGATCCAATAACTCGATCAATCTAAACTATTTAACCCAAACATAAACATTGAATTGGTTTTTTTTTTTTTTTTTCNTTTTTTTTTTTTTTTTCCGGTTTGAGTTGGATTTAATTTTTTAAAATCATAAAATTTAGTTTCCATATCTCAATATTCCCGACTAACTCGAAAATAGGGTTACAAGCGAGCTCAACTTTACCGTACTTTTTTAAAAAATTAAGAATTTTTAACGTCTGTAACTCACATTGATGATGCATTGTGATTTATAAAAATTTAATATTTGAATTGTACAGTGATTTTAGTTATTAAGGTATCAGTAAATAAGTAAGATTTTTAAATAATAATAATAAAAAAAAACTCGAATATAAAGGGTTATGTTCTAAACTCTATTTGAATTGTGACTGTCCCTAATTTAATTCACTCGAAATTTTAGATTGGTCCAAAAAAAAATTATTAGTAATTTTGAGTCATTATTTTTTATTATTATTATTTTTTTCTTGAAAAATAAATAATAATAATAATAATTAAAAAAAAAAAAAAAAAAAAAAAAAAAAAAAAAAAAAAAAAAAAAAAAAA